TTCAAAGAAACCAACTTATTCAGCAGTTGCCTGGGGATACAGTGTATAGATCCACAAATCTAAGTTGGTCGTTTCAGATGGTAAGGGAACTGGAGCTGGATCCCGGAGAATTAGGTCATGTTCTTATTTGGCAGGAAGTATGGGAATTTTGGAAACTAAAATTTGAACGGATCTCAGAAAATAAAGGAGCTAAAGTCACAGTTCTAAAGGGTCAGGCAGCCAGTTTAAGTGTCTGGGCAACTATATTTCAGTTCTGATTTGACTGTGAACACTGAAAATTCTTCATGGCTCACAGCCTAGCATGGATTCTCCTTCTTTCAGAGCACTAGGATATATATATCAGTAAGAAGGAGGACATGCATCAGTAAGAATGCTAAGATGCATGTGATAAATAAAAGACGCTAACAAAGACTGAGTGTTCAGTTACTTCCCAGGGAAAAGGAAGTTTGAAGCACTGCACTAAGCTGGCTACTTCACATGTAAGCAGGCATGACTTGCTTGGAGCTGGTTCTATTTTGCCACTTGCCCTTAGTATCAGTGATATCTGACAATATAATCACATAATCATACAATCATCAAGGCTGCAATACAGCCCAACCATCAACCTAGCACTACCACTGTAATCCCTAAACCATTAAACCATATTGCCCAGCAGCAGATCCAGATGCCTCCACCATCTCCCAGGGCAAATGTAAGGGACCTTTTAGAAACGTCTGTTTCTCCATTGCCTGGCTTTGATGAAGGAGTCTGAAGACAGGACCCCTGGACTGTTTGTCTCAAGGTTTGTTGATTCACAGGGTGTCTCCAGTCGCTGAGATAAGAGGCACATTGTCCTCCACCCAAATCCTCCAACTAACAGATAACGACCGACATTCCAGGTAACAAGTCACCACTGTCCACCACCTACACCCCCTGGCTGCCGAGCCATCTGCCAGAGAATGATCGACATCCTCTCCAGCTGAGTAGACCCTGAGGTACCATTGTCCACCATTGTCCATGACTGAGATCAGAGGCTGAGAATTGCTCAGCTCCAGAGAAACTGACCAGTCAGTGCCTGACAGAGTCCTATAAACAGGACCAGCATCCAGAGCATGGTGCACACTCACCACGGAAGAAGAGACATCTAAGGATCATCAGGATGCTGCTGGACCTATGCTGGTGACTCTCTGCTGCACCATCCCAAATCTTCCTTGCTTCCCCCCTTTTCTGTTTCTAACTTTCCTTTTAAGCCTTCTCTCTCCCCCCTGGGTAACCAATGATAAACTCTCACTCCCTAATGGTATTTTGACCTCGTTTGTGTCTTAATTCACATTGGGGAAACCGATCGATTACTCCTGACTCTTACTGGACCAGGACAGCAACCTATTCCAGTGCCTGAATACCCTATCAGTGAAATTTTTTTTTTTGCTAGTATCTGGTCTGAATCTCCTCTGTCTCAGCTTATGGCTGCTCCCTCTAGTCTCCTCACTGCAGGCATGGCAGGAGATACCATTCCCCACCCTCTACAGCCCCCTTTTAGGCAGCTGTAGAGAGCGATGAGGTCACCTCTGAGCTGCCACTCCTCAAGACTAAACAGTGCCAGCTCCCTCAGCCAAGCCTCATAAGACATATTTGAGCGACCCCTCACAAGCCTTGTTGCCCTTCTCTGGACACACTCTAGTACCTCCATGTCCTTTTTAAAGTGAGGGACCCACAGTTCTTAGGAAATAAGTAAACCTGAACTAATAAGTACTACAATCATCAAAAAGACATCTGCCACCACGCCAAATACATTTAGCATGCTTCTCCTGTGCAGATTTTATGCCATCATAGGACATACAGTTATAGAGTCTTAATATTTTAACTCCACCAAGACATAGCAAAAGCATGTCAACTCTAAGCATTTTAAGACAAGTCCAAGCAGATAGTAAGCATTTTAACAGTAATGAATAATGCAAACGAAGAAGATAATTTAGAGTAAAAAGAACACCTAATAGTTAATCAGAAAAAACCTTGAAACTAGAATCCCAGAAAATAAAACAGCACAAAATTGCTTTGTGGTGTGATGTTTCTAGTCATGAATCAGACTCAGATTCATAGAATTGTAGAATGGTTTGGGTTGGAAGGGAACTTAAAGTTCCAACCCTCTTGCCACAGGCAGGGACACCTTCCAATAGACCAGGTTACTCAGAGCCCTATCCAGCCTGGTCTTGAACACCTCCTGGGATGGTGAGTTCACGACCTGTCTGGGCAACCTCTTCCTGCGCCTTGCTGCTGTTTCTTCCTAATATCTAATCTAAACCTACCCTCCTTCAGCTTAAGATCATTCCCCCTTGTCCTCCCTGGGGCTTGTCTCAATCCATTCTTCACCCAGCCTGTGTTTGTGCTTGGGATTGCCTCAAAATAGGCGCAGGACCTTGCACTTGGCCTTGTTGAACTACATGAGGTTCACAAAGGTCCACCTCTCAAGCCTGTCAAAATCCTCTGGATGGCATTCCTTCCCTCCAGTGTGTCAACTGCACCACACAGCTTGGTGTTATTGACAAACGTGCTGAGGGTGCTCATGATCTCACTGTCCATGCTGCTGACAAAGATGTAAAACAGTGCCAGCCCCAATACTGACCCCTGACAAATACCACTCGAACTGCAGAATTAAAGTTTGTTGTGACAAAAGCAGACTCAGAGATCTTAGGGCTACAGCAATCTCCTGGATTTTATGGTTGCACACATACCCTGCATATACTCCTGTTCCTCCATATTAGAACAGATTTCAGCACTAAGAAAAATAAACAAAACACTCAAAACCTGCTACAAAATGCATAGGTGTGCCACAAACAGCATCAGGCTGATTCTGGATCAGGAAAACAGGTATATCCACTGTTCCTTCAGGAGCATATTGAGATAGATAGCAGTCTCTCACACTAAAAGAAAATGGAGATTCTTTCCTATCAAAAGACTTTATCATACTTAGGATACAGTTTACATTATGGAAGAACTTCTGACAGTAACCATGAAGAAAAATGGGTTTATTCATCTTGATTACTGTCAGGGATTTTTCAATTTTGTAAACAATAACTCATAGGTATTCAGGCATCCAAAGCTTCAAAACAGCTTTGTGAGCAGACAGCAACTGACTTTGCTTGAATGCAAACTCGTCATATAAACCTCTTGATAGTTATTATTCTACGAAGCACATCACGTCTGTCTTCGCCTGCATAGACTACAAAGTGCATGAAAAGTACTGAAAGAGCCCGAGAAGTTGCTGGGGGGGAATGCAAATTTATTCAGACCTTTTTGAATCAGCAGAAAAGAATTTGTGCTAATCCAAGAGAAGTGCTTGTTTTTCTAAACTGTTGCAAATGTCCTTTTAAGATAGTAATAAAAATTTAACTTTTAGTTTCTCTAGCATTACGCACATATCACACAAAATTAACAATAGTCTGTATACCCTTAGCAATTTCGACTGTGTTCAGTTTAAACCAGATGGGGCTTGCTGAAATAAGTATTTTTTGACCATAACAGGGTACTTTTAAACCCTTGGTGTCAGTGAGAAACTGTGCTTGCTTTGTTTGGACATCATATATGCTTCTTTTTCAGTATTTGTTCTGAAAAAGCAGAATTCATTACAGAAAAAAGGCAATTTCTTCCCCAAGTACATTTTTTCCAACAGCACATAAGATTGGGATGACAACCCTCTAACACTTTGCTAATAATTAGTCATCATATCTTTGTAGAACATAATATAATAAAATCTATTTTTCTAAGATTTTTGCTTATTTTTTTCTTTTAAACATCATGTAATTTAGATTGCCTGTTTATATCAGATATTACTGTTTTTTTCCGACCAGATGCTTAGAGCTTAGGAAAGAATTTTACTTCTTTTGATTCTTCTCCTGGGAAAAGAATTCAGCAGCTTGTTAGTTTCCTCAGTACTCCCTACATAGCAAAAAGTGGTATATATGGAAGGCCTCATTTTCTCTTTCTAGCTCTACGCCAAAGATGCTGTGAGCACCTGCAACTTCTGTTAATTTCCTCGAGTATTGAAGATGTTCAGCAGCTCTAAGGATTCAACGTACTGGGACAAAACCAATGTGAGAAGCTCATACTGGAACCATGCAGCTAATAAGGACTGGGAGTTCTAAAATAGACAGCAGTGAACTTACACACACACACACACACAGACAAAGAATTTATTCCAAGCGAACACATCCAGAAAGATGTGACTTGTCAGAAAAATACCTTACTTCTTTTTTCTTGGATGGCCACGTTCACAAGCCTGTATTATATTTTGCATATTGAAACAGAGTAAGATTAGTTCCTACTCACATTTCCATCTCAGTCTGACCCCCATGACTAGCACTATTACAATTAATATAAAAATATTTTCTGTAATTCTCATCATCCACTCACCAAAGTTGTATTCTTCCCTCTTCTTTAATGCTCTACTTATTACTTATTTGTTGCCCTTTTTTTTTCTGTCCACTGGTAGCTAATTATATTTTATATATGCTGGAAAATTCTAATAAAAACACTAGGACTTAGAATAGAAACATTTATTTTTTTTTTTAACTGATGGAAAATCTGCAATTTTAATTAAACAACCCACTGAGATAAATGCATCAACAAATAAAATTTCCGCTCATGAATGCAGCACTGCCAACAAGAAACTGCCTAGAAAGTTTCAATTCACTTGGGTACCAAAGTGTTTATACCCAACAGATTTGGGCCAGATAATAGCTTTTCGATAAACCCAAGGATTAGGAGTGAATCCCAGCAGGGCAGCTGATTCTTAAGCACTGGGAAATCTCCCACTGGATTAGAGCACACGCTTTTTTTTTTCTCTCAGAGTGACAGGCGAAGAAGTGCATGCCAGGAAAATGCCTGAAGGAAGAAGGAGTCAACACAAAACTGTTCTTTGCAGGTAGTCACTATCTAGGCTCTTCTACACTGCTCTCTATATAAGCTGGTCCTGATGACCTGGACAACAGGATGTAAAAAGATCCTATTTAGTCTACAAGCCTCTTGTTTACAGTGAAGGTTATTCTTCTGTTTATATTCTGCACCATCTGAATCCAGAAAAGAAAAATGGTGAGCCTAGTCTGAGACTGCTGATACCAGCCACTGAGAAAGTATAATCTTCTGATTAGAAATATCAAGAGATATTGATACATAAGCATAATGCCTCACAAAGAAGAAACATAAACATTATTTTAAATAATAATCACATAGTATGGGTTGTAACTTTTATAATAAAGTCAGATGTTCAACATTGCTTAGTAACTGACATAAGGAAGCAACCACACTTAAAAAGGAGATATTTATTTCTGAAGGTTCAAAGAGGCTTTGCATTTTCTTTTGCAGCTGAAAAGCAAACAGTGTACTTGAGGAAACAATTAAAAACAGCAGAATAAAAGGGAGGAAACAGCAGTATCAGTTCAGAATTTTCAAACTCTCTGAAATTTGCTTCCACTTAAGAACATGACTGTTTCTTCAGAGCAATAACTGCATAGCATCTGGGAGACTTCACAGGATCAAATAACTTCACAAGTCCAGACCAGGCAATGTTTTCCTGTAAAATGATATATGATTGAAGTACATAAAAATGTGTTTGACTTAAAAGCTAAGATATGGTAATAGATCCATATTTTGAAATACAAAATTAAAAAAAAAATTATCCTTAATGCAAAGTGGGAAAACCAATCTAACAAGAAAATCAGGGAAAGTTTGTTGTGGAAAAAGAAGGGACACCCATAACAGGGTGCATTTTAAAGTAATTAAATTATTTCTGGCACTGTCAAATGACAGCTTCCCACCCCCTTCATCAATAAAGTTTGTTGTTTGGTTGAACTAGAGCAAAGAAATTTAGGATCAAGTGATACTCATTTTATGCAGCACATTCTACTCCTGAAGCTAATTAACTGACTTTTCAAATGAATCAGGCCAGCTGGACCTGGTCATCATGTCGCATGTGGCTTTTATAATTTCTGGTTTTCCTTCCTAAACACATTTTGTGAATCAACCAGTACCAGATTAAATTGATGCATATATTACACTTAGAAAAGGTAAATCAGTGCTAAATCCAGCAAGTCTGATCTCCCGCCTTGGAAATCATACAGATCTCTGTGTGATTTATAGCTGGTTGGCATTTGGGAAAATACATCATTATTTAAATATTTCAAATTGCCTCTCTGTAAAAATACCAGTCAGAACAAAAGCATACATTTACTACAACTCAGTTGTTCCAAGTGCACCGTGGCAGAGAATAAAGTGAGTTTTCACTTATGATAAAATGGAGCTGTTAAAATGAAAGGTTTATGGTGGAAAAACACAGCTATTCACATGAATGAGTGTAAGTTTTCTTTTAGAATTTTATTTTGACCATGGCCCAGAGCAGAGGCTGCAAGATGCTACCATTTCCTCCTTGCAAATTATTTTTTTGTGTGAAAAATGTTTACTGGTGCAGAAAAAGTATGACTGCTGCTTCTGAGTTAAACGGGCCAAGTTCAAAATTAGTGTTAGAAGAAGCACTGTAATATAAATCATTACAAAGCAAATGTAGTAGCATTTGCTTATTATATCCCAGGTCTATACTCATAAAATATATGCAGGCTGTATGTTAGTCAAATGTACCTCAGCTGACCCATACAGTTGGCAAAAGTGCACCCTCTCTCATCATTGATCTTAATTAAGAAACAGTAAAAGGAAATCATAAACATTTTGGATCTAATTCAAAATTTCTCAAATTATATGTTCTAAAACATATTCATTGGAAGTTCTAGCATGAACAGCACAATATTTGTTTAGCATTTCCAATATTCTTTTTAATTATTAAATATCTCAATATGTTGTATAAAATGAGATTTGCTGCATATTTAATTAATTTATTTTTTACTGCCTATTGATGAGTAATTACCACACAATTAAAAGAACATAAACTTTACTGTTGTTGCTTTGCTGAAAATAAAAACATCTGCTGGGCATATGTTTATACTAAATGGAATGAATGCTTATACTTTTGCAAATATGATGAGAATAATAATTCTGCAGCAGAGACTTTTGGTCTGCACAGTAATAAATTGACTGAAATAGCCTCATTTCACTGATGTAGCCTTTAGGTATCGTAAAATATAATGCAAAAATACCTGTTCCTTGAGGTAGCAAAGACGATCCAGAAGTATCAAAACTTCTATGCAGGGAGCCAGAACAACTTTCAGCTGAAAGAAAGATTAGATACTACAATGCTTTTGGGAAATGGAGGCAATGCATTTCCAAATGGCTACACTTCCACAGAACAATTCCAGGCAGGTCAATAATTTTTTAGGGGTTCTGTTGTACAAATGTCACCTTGCCAATTTTCCCCATGGGATGGACATCTTCAAAACAGATCATATTAAAGATCAAAAATCCACGGAATGCCATAAGGTCAGGGAATGTTATTTAGTTGGTTTTCAGACATTGTCCAACAAGGAAATGATATTACATGTAGCAGAAAAATTTTAAAGAGGGAAATAATGAATTTTAATAAAAAGAATTTTAATGAAATAACTGCATGGAGACCAGTCGAGGTTTAAGAGGAGACTGACATTCCATTTTCCAGTGTAATAGTCCCTCTTGAAAAAGAATCTTCCATGTGTTCGCTTTATTGTTTTACTTACACCTAATATAGTTTTGGAATATGATATGCTCAGAAGTTTGCAAGGGGGAGCTGCTTTGTTTTTTGAGATTGCATACCACAGTGTAAGACAGTCCACCTCCACATAAAACTTAACAGGGCTTTGTTCTGGACTGGCACATATATACAAGGTAATAGTATTAATCCTATAACTTTTACCATATTAAATGCTTCAAGCTCATTCATTCTGTGCTTGTATTTTTCATAGTAATCCATTATACAGCTGTCTGGGAGCTGCAAGGGATTGAAAAAAAAAGACATCAGAGTTATCCTAGTTACTTTTTTGAGAGAACTTTAAAATTAATTTTTTTTTTCCTAATTGAAAGTCACACTACAAAATGAAATCCGTGTTTTGTTTTTGAAATTAGCACTTTCCTAAGGTTTATAATAATTTCCACTAGCAGTTTCTCAGATCTAATTTACAATAACTGTTCTTCAGACAGGACTCGGCACTGATATGAAATACTAAGATACATTCATTATTCAGAAAGCTCCAGCCATTCTTAAATGAGAATTACACAGTAAACGGGAGATAACATTCTCATTTCCTTTCCCATATATTTTATCCCCTCCTCACCCCCATGCCCAAGAGATTTATTTAAACAGCTAAGAAGCAAATTCTGGTGTGAGAGTAACATGGATGGTATTTCACATTACAAAATCTACTACCAGACTCTGGAAATCATGCTTTGTTTCTCTGTGCCTAAAGTTACCCATCTTTAAAACAAAACTTTGTCTATTTACTTTGAACTACTGTATGTTCCCCCTCTTCTTTTCCCAATCACCTGATGCAAGATTGCCAGCACTCCACTGTGACTGTAAATGCTGCAATTTGGGGCTAAATTTGATACAGAGAGAGTTCAAGAACTTGACTAAGCCATTTCAGCCCTTGGTGATCAGTGCACCACAGCAGGTAGCTAGAGCTATGATCACACATGCTCTCACAAAGCATGTTCTCTGCAGGGCAGCCTGACCACTACATCTCCCAGGTTTTGAAAGTCATGATGTGTCTACTCCTCTGCTGTCCACAGTCACAGACAATAAACATGACAGTTGAGCTGGGCACTCAAGGAACCTGTCAGAGAAATGGGAGGTAGATGTGCAGCGTGATTGGTGATGGAAGCTGCTGGGAAGAGCAGAGCTGAAAGAGCTTGATGTATTTCTTCAGTATTGAGAGCTTTGCAGTCTGGCTATTCTGTCATGGCTATGGAACAACTCAGCAGAAAAGGAATGGCACTGTAGAAACATGACAGTTGAGCTGGGCACTCAAGGAACCTGTCAGAGAAATGGGAGGTAGATGTGCAGCGTGATTGGTGATGGAAGCTGCTGGGAAGAGCAGAGCTGAAAGAGCTTGATGTATTTCTTCAGTATTGAGAGCTTTGCAGTCTGGCTATTCTGTCATGGCTATGGAACAACTCAGCAGAAAAGGAATGGCACTGTAGGCACTGTCTGGCTATTCTGTCATGGCTATGGAACGAGCTAGTCCACAACTCAGCAGAAAAGGAATGGCACCGTACATGTGGCACTGAGGGGCATGGGCTAGTGGTAGACTTGGCAGTGCTGGGCTAACAGTTGGAATTGCTGCTCTTAAAAGTCTTTTCCAGTCTAAATGATTCTAGGACTCTATGACAGAAGATTAGGAATGCTGAAGTGTTTAATACATTTTTGCACACTTTTATTAGAAGAACATCTGACAGCATGTGGCTAATCCTGTTGCAAAGAAGTAAAATCTCAGCCTAAAATAGAAAAACTAGGGAACATTTAAAAAAATTGTAAGTTCTCAAATCAGGTATGTATTATGAACTTCATCCTAGCACAGCCAAGAAGGGACTGAAGTGACCTCAGAACTATTACTCATTGTCACTGAGAAGTTCTCAAAGAGGGTATGTCAGATGGTTTGCAGATGTATGTCTTTTATTATAGAACAGACAGTTCAAATTAAATGCACTGAAAAAAAGGAACAAATAAAGAATTTAAAAACACTGAAAGATAAGCAGATGAGTAATAGTCACCACGAACTTGTCAAGAACAAATCACAAGTCAATCTACTTTGCTTGCAAGGAGGGCGAAAGGATTCACAACAGAGAAACAACTGTTTCTCATATATTTCGATCTCAGATTTTTGATGAGATTTTATGTAATAATTTTATAAGCAAATTTAAAAAACAAGTCTTAAAGTACTATAAAGTGAGTGAAACCTGTTTGAATGACCATAACCAGAGAGTAGTTATTAATGAATCTTTGAACAACTGAATAGACTAGACTAGGCTGCCTAGAGGTCCATTATGGAATGCAATATTTTCATTAAGAACAGAAACCACATTAAATCTGCTAATGTGCACCAGGAAGGCACTGCCAGAACTTAAAATAATTTCCAGAAATTGGAGCACTGCTTAGATATGAAATTGGAAATGCTGTACAGAAAAGCATAAGGCTCAGGCAGAAATAATCAGCTGTTCAGGATGGGGAACACCAAATGACAGTCTGGGAGATATAGCAGATCATAAGCTGAGCAAGAGTCACAGTTGTGCTACTACAAAAAAAAAAGCAATCACCATCCTGTGACATGTATGGGAGAGCAGTCTGCAAAGTGCAGGAAGTAATCCTTCAACTCTGGCAGCTGAAAAGCTCTAGCTGGAATACTGCATCCATTTTTGGGCGTCAGATTTCAAAGAAAGAAATGAACTGTCTGAAAAAGCCCTGAGAGAGAAGAGATCAGAGATCTAGAAAACATGACCTATGAAGAAAGACTCAGAGAACTGGAACTGATCAGGCTAAATTAGACAAAATTGAGAGTGGGCATAATAACAGTTTTTACAAGGCTATCACGAAGAAGCAGGGAACAGTTTATTCAGTGTCTACAGTGTACAGGGTAAGAACTAATGGGCTTGCATTGCAGCAAAAAAGAGTCAGTCAAAAAACTTGAAGAAACTTTTTCTTTTAAAGGTTAATTAAGGACTAGTAAGGTTGTCAGTCTCTGTAACATGAAGCTTTTAGAAATTCTGACAAATATTTCTCAGGAATGATGAAAAATTTTAACTCTGCTTAAAACAAGGGGAGGTTAGAAAAACTTCTGTAGTTTTTCAGTCATATTTTTTTAATTTAGAAAGTACTTTTTTCCAACTGCAGAGGCAAGGTTAAATAGCTGATCTGGCAGTACTAGTGTGGACTAACAGGACTTTTTTTGGTTCTGTTGCTATTTTATTTTCAGTAAAGCTGTGCAAGTATTTTAGAGGATTTTTTTTTCTCTTCCCCTCTGAAGAGTCAAACCAACTAAACCATATCAGTCATGAAATAAACAAAATAGTTTGTTTAACCTCTGCCCTATACGCTTTTCATTTTAACTGAGTATTAATAGAGCTTCAATATAATGGATTTTTCAAATTACAGGTTATGTGGAATTAAAATACAAAGACCTATATTTGGAAAAATGGTATCATTAAACTTTTCTGTTTTGTTTCCTTTATGTTATCCATTTTTCAAGAGGAAGCATTCAAATTAAAAGAAAACAATCTGTGACATGTTTGGCAAATAAAAAGTGGGTCAAAAAATGTCTCTTGGATGTTGCCATACTCAAGTATGTATTTTTCCATTCCCTCCTTGCCTACTACACATTCTAACTGAATGCGACGTGCTGTCATGGATAGGTATTATTCCAAACTGTGCCTCAGCTAAAAGTTTGGTGAGTGAACCAATTCAGTGCAACAGCTCAGCTGGAAAAAGGAGAAAGCATCCACCAAAAAAGCACTGATAGAGAAGGGCATGAAAAGGGTAACTGGTAGCTAGCCGTGTAGGCTGGTTATTGGAAGAAAACTAAAACCTAGATAACACTGTCTTTGTCTGAAACTGCAACAGCTTGCCACCTGCTTTCAGTTCTTAAAAGATGCTCAACACGACCTTCAGCTATCCTTCCAAGGCGAAGTAGGCATTTTCAGGAGAAGCAAAGCAAGCCCCATTCAACCACTGAAGTTGTCCCTGCAACTGTTCTCTATGCAGGGTTGACAAGTGTTTGTATATCCAAAACAATTCTTTAAATATATGCACTGAACGTTTTTCTTACATTATGATGTTGATACTATGAACATGAAAAAACCCCAATACATCTACCATGCATTAGTCTTAATAACGCACTCAAAGATCTAGCTTATCTTACTGACACTCAAGTAATCTACATTTCATACACAGAGGTTTTGGCCAGCACCTCTTCTTTCTTCTTTCCATCTCCTGGTCTTTATCAGGTTGTGAACAAAGGCACCTTATCTCTCACTGTGATAGTGGTGCAATCTTTCTTTTCAACTAATTTATTTGTGGATTGATGCGCTTGCTCAAATAGCTGAAACATCCAAGGGGACCTAGCAAGGTCCCTGTTGACCTAGTTATACTATACCATGTGCTGGAGGTGGCACTAAAACGCTCCCATAGGTCTGACTGTTGTGAACACTAGGAGGCTGTAAACGGAGCTCTGAGAGCACGTGAGGTACCACATGCCTGAGCACACCCAGGCTGGACTGCAGACCCACAGACAGCTGATCAAGCACAGGCTGAAAAGAAAACATTCAGGCACAAAGTGTGGGACAGTTAGTGACACCACACTTAACATTTCTTCAGAGAGCATTTTTTCAGAGCTGTGGCTGTTCCTTTCCCTAGACTAAGAGTATTCTAACTGAATGCAAGTCTCTTTTACAGAGGAGAGACAGCCTAAGGATTCTATTCCACAGTCTGTTTAAACAGATGTAATTCCTCTTTGCTGTCTCAAAGGGACTGCTGTCACCTGCACTGACTGCACATTTCCATGTTTCCTCTATCTTCCTGTACCAGCATTATTAGGAACACTAACAAGAGTACAAGAAAGCACAGCAGTGTCTTAGGTCAGTTCAAAACACTTGGGAGACCATACCTTACAGCAAATGTTATGCTTTTTCCATGACTAAGGTAGTTGAAAGTAAAGTAATGTAATATAATATAGTGTAAAATAATGTAAAATATAATGAAACTACTGAGAGACATAAGTTTATTTAGAAGTTTGTTTAAAATGCATTTCAAATGAATACAATCTGTATTCTTTATAATTACATCCAACTGAGATACAAGTCACATCTCTTAAAATTCCTTGTCAGACTAAAATGTTACGCTACCATAACTGGGAGAGTATTTTGTCTGTTTGAAAACAATTATACTTGAAAACAGCATTATGTGCATATACTTCATAGGCTGTTATACAAGTGTTACCTGAG